GTTAGGGGTAAGTTGATCGAGGTCAGGGGGTAAATTGAACCACTGTTCAAACCTGGGCATACCTACAACACATGCTAAAGGTAACTATAAACAATAAATAACAAACCAAATACAAGCTTAGTTTTTCAAATATTTTTAATATACATTTCGATTGAAGTGATAGATTTTTTTTAACATGTTAAAAGGATAAGTAATCATACAAATGGTGATAAAATTTCATACATCTTACCAATCAAACACAGGGTGAATTCAACTTTAAATGTAGCCTACAATGAGCTCTTATTATCAACTTGGCCTACTTTCATTCATTTCTCCATTGAAAAACTGGCTCAACTTACCCCAAGGCCCATGGTTCACTTTACCCCATAGCCACCATTTTAGAAAAAATAGCATAGCATTAAAATTCAGAGTCATCTTTAGCTTAATGATTCACATGGTTTAATACGCTGCCAACACATCAACATATACAATATATGTGTTTAAACCTGGATACATTTTTTTTGACATGACAGCCGATATAGCTGACATCTAGAAAATTTCCTTTGACAAGCAAAAAACGTTTTTTTGTAAAAATGTTTACTCACCAGACCACAATGAGCATCTCTCTTTCACAGGCAATGAAAAATGGGAGGAGCTTGCATAATTTCTGGTCACGTGATTACAACTATAAGGCGTTGCCTGGTTACAGGGGGTGGTTCAACTTACCCACTGGCTCAACTTACCCTTCTCCCCAACCTTCTATTGCGCTACATTGATTTTAAAGCTTTCTTTCATTTGCAGATCAAGAGTAATAATACGAAATGTAATTATAACTTATGTTAATTTAAGGATATATATATATATATATTCCTGAGTACTCAAAACTATACTCATTTACCAAATGCAACATTATGGTTAATGAGTAGTACTTAGTTTAGATTCTTTAAGAATTTTGATGCAGTTATGTTTGTTCCACTAAAATCCTGTGCTAAGATAATACGTTTTAAATTTGTTACACATTACTTAAGGTACCAAAGGGGTTAAATGCTGTCCAAGCAGCAATCCAAGACTAAATAAACAGAAGACAGTCTAAAATTGAAAATATATCAGCGCTACGGGCACAATTGTCTTTGCAGCAAAAATAATTAAGGTTGAGTACCGAGTTTAAGATAGGAAATAATTTGAAAAAGGAAAATCATTAAATAAATAGATAATGAATGAATATTTACAGCCCGTCTCCAAACAGTGCTTTTATTTTGAAGGTAGCCCTGTGCTGTCTGTGTGTTTTGGAGGCTTCTGTTGTTTTAAGCATTGACGCTTCACAGATCACACACTATGGAGCTGTCTGATTGTTTCATATCAGTGAAGTAAGAGTGTGTTTTACTGTAAGAAACTAAAATGCGTCAGCTTGAAGCATGTGAGAAATTTTTACGAGCTGAAAGCAATATAAATACCGTGTCTAGCATGTCCTTATGAATTTGTATTGTCCTAAAGTATTTATCCTTTCCTTTACCAGATCAGCTTTGTGGCTAGCATTAAATCCAAAAAATATGCAGGGGTTAATTTTCGCCTCTTGTGATTTGTTTTGGTGATCTTGTTTTAGGAACTACAAAACATTTTTTATAAAAATAATAACAAACCCTTTAACACTCAAAGAATGACAAAAAGATGCAAAGACAAACATTTTATTTGATGAATTTATCTATGTCCTACATTAGGGTACTTTAAAACAGTACATTACTATCAAACGTAGAGAGAATAGTAAAACAACAGACTAACTCTATAAAATTGAAGCAGAACAGACATTTCCAGGGTTAAAATAAAAATAAGAATACTATTTACAAGTAGGAAATGCTGAATCTTCTCTTCCAACATACTCAACCATGCAGAAGTCGTCACATAAAACATTTGAGTAGGAAAATAAAAATACTTTATAAAACTTTAAACACATGGTGGTTCAAACCACAACAAACTGACAAAATAACTTGGAAAAAAGTGTATGGAAGCTCATTTGCAAGGACTTAGCCACAATTATGAGATATGTAACAGTGATTAAGCCACATGCAAAGTTATGAAGGCAGATTGTTACTATCTTCTTCCATAACTAAAACTGTATCGCATATTTATTACATAGTAACCAGAAAATGTGACATTATTTTGTAATTTTATTTGAAAACATTTAATGAATTTATCTTTCTTCTGGCATGAATGGGCTTCCATACAGTATATGCATCTTCAAAGTGGTTTAGTAATAAGGATTTTTACAAAAAAAGTGTCACTTTTCATAATGCCCTCCTCATCGCTGCTTCCTGCAACAATGCTAGATAAGAATTTAACAAGAAATACATGACTATAAATGTAACATTAATATTGAATACTTTAAAATATGTAACCACAAGCTTAACAATGTACCCACAGTGTTCAATACGTTATACCACCAGCTGAATGAGTCTGAATTGTATGCTCTGAACTTGTTAATTGGAAAGCAGAGAAAAACTAAGAATTTCACTTCAATACATATTCCATAAAACTTGTCCAAAACATTATATCACATAAGCACGATTACATTTCTGACAGTTTCTTTAACAGTTATTTTTTACAGTTGAATGATTTATTATTAGGCAGTTGTTATGTTCGTATTTGCTGCTTTAAGGAATGAGCATATATATGGTATAATATCCTCAGAGTTGCAGATTTTCTTAAAGAAATCTTTGTGGGTAATCACAGAAGATCAGAAGATTCTTGGATCCTGTTGGATGTTTTTCCCGGGGAGCTTCAGAACATGTTTGTGGCATTGTGTTTTCGTTCCAGCATCAAAAAGTGCCTGAACATCATTTCATACTTGGGCCAGCTGTCAATCAATCACAGTGCTGAGGCAGTCTTTGGTTTGATCTGGTCAACTTAGCCAGCACCTGTAGATCCAGTCCTTCAAAAATCATTCAGGCAGTGCCAACAAAGTACCGTAGTATCCGAGGCACTAGTGTAGTACACGCTGTAGCTGGTGTTACCATTCTTACCTGCCTCATTTGCACTACATGGTTCGACATGTCTCCCATTTGGCACCACGTCTTTTTTTTGCATTTTGTTTCCAGTGCTGGTAGCACCCCCCCTCAGTACAGGCAGGATTCTCAGCTGTTGCCCACACTGCATGAAATCTCTGTGACATAATTGTCCATGCAATGTTTGCCGGATAATGGCAAAAAAAACAAGTAACGTATGACAATTGTATTCTGTGCTGTACTGTAATAGTTTTGCAGGCTCATATTTCTTAGTTAAATTATGGTTAGAATGACTCTGAAGGAGAGAAACTCCCTCTGAAGGGAACGTGGGGATTCTAGCCTTTGCAGACTATTTACGTGCACAGAAACCTATATAACACACTACAGGAAAGGGAAAACCATGCATAGCATAATAGGGCCTCTTTAATTCAACGTTCTAGCATCAGCACAGCTCACTTAGAACCAGTACCAAGTTGGTATCATATAAATGACCAAGTAAAATAATGTCTGAAATTTGAAAACGATAAAAAAAAAAAGAGGTGAGGTGAGACATCTTGGCATATCATGTAGTGAAAATGACGCAATAGTAAACAAGTTGTAAGGGATTAGTGGTTACCATAGTTACCAGGGAGGTAAGTCACATAACTTAGTAGGTGGCGTTGTTCCAAACACGCAGCACTTACAATAGATACCAAGGCCAAGAGTTATAAAACGCAATAACTTCCAGGAACAAAGGTTCTACATGCAGTGGCTATCATAGTTACTACGGAGCAGGATCTTCCACAGGTGAACCACTGCAGTGCCATTGAGTTAATTCCAGTATAATTTCCATGACTTTTAAGATAGGATTCAGGTCTGAGGCCAATTAGTTTTTGGCTCTGTTATGACATCACTGGGCTGGTCCCCTACAATGTGGCCACAGGTGCGAGTCCGTCGGCGTGCTCCAGGTGGTGATGGTGGTGCAGCTCCGCTTTACAAACTGTAGCGGCGCTGCAGTGGAGCGACGTCACAGCAGGCGGCTCCTCGTCACCTGAGAAACACAGGGTCAGGAATGAGTGTCATGAGTCCCAGGGGGAAATGAGAGCAGAATTTGTCACTTGGGATGCTGCTTTGGGTTTGTTACTTAAATGGGCCACATTATGTTCATTTTCAGGTTCATATTAGTATTTTGTGTCCCGCCCCTTAGCCTATCACGTACAATATGTTTGAGCGCTAGCCAATAGAAGCATAAGTGTTACATAGTGATTTTATTATGTCACAAAGGAGTCCAATGGAGGCATTTCAGGCAGGGGGGAGTGTGTGGGACAGAGATTTTAGCCTTTGCAGACCATATACATACAAAAAAACCTATATAACACACTACAGGAAAGGGAAAACTTAAAAAAGCATAACAAGGCCTCTTAAAGGAACATAAGGATATAACACTGGTGATTTAAAAGATAATATTGATACAGATGTTATGCTGTCTTCTTCAAAGTTACAACATTCACGTGACAACGTGGCACTTGACATAATGATCATACATTAGTCGCATGGTATCCTTATGTAAGCGACCCTGAGCTAGTTAGTAAGTTACATAACATTTAGCATACTTCAGCAGAAAAACTACTTTCTGCAGACAATAATGGTACAAAGGTTGTTCTATATGAACTTATAAACAACACATATGTGACCCGCTCTATCGAAATCAGTCGGAAGTCGCAATGGCTCAAATAAAAATAAATGTGGATTTGCGTAAAAAAATAGTTTTCGGGTGTTTTGTTTGATTTTAAATAAACAAAGTCTTGGCTTTCAGAATATGAAACTTTTATTTCCAAAATCACACGATAAATACATTATTGAAGCTTGTAAAGGGAAGATGACAGCTCTCACTCGCAATCGTATGTTCCGCAGCGCCGCCCCGCCTCCCTCCGGCTGAACTTATGAATGTAAGGCGTATAGTAATCATAGATAACACGGCAGGGTACGTTACAGTTTGTTTTCATCTGATTTCAATTAAACAAAGTCTTGGCTTTCAGAATATTGAACTTGTTTCAGCAAATTCAGATGATAAATACAACTTTGAAGCTTGTAACGGCATAATTACAAGCGGAGAACGGAGTAACTTAACGTCAAAGCAGGCATAACAACAGCCGGTGTTTTTTGAGAGTGTTTTCCCCGGGAAACAAACTCAATACACACAAACGCAAAATTACACAAACACACACACACAATCGCGAGCTTCCGCCAGACCAGTAATCCAAACGAAAATATTTTCCCTCCGTAGTATTTCGATCATTTGCTAGCCGCTAATAATCAATCAGATCGATGGATTCCAGAGAAGAGAGAAACTTTGAAGGCCTTTTTCTCAAAATGATGACTTGGTGACAGTCATTATATAATGTGACATATTTTGCTTAATATTTGGAGTACAACAACAATCCTGATATCATTAGAAAGCTAGGAATCTCCTCTTTCCAACAGTGTATACAACTCATGTGTGTCTTTGGGTCAATGCGACTGATTTCGATAGAGCAAGTCACATATGTTTAACTCTACAATGTGGAATAAAATCTTTACAAAATTTTTCAAAGTTGCAGTATTTGCCAGACGGCCTTACCCAGCCCCGAAGAAGACGATTCGCTGTCTGCCAGAGAGGAGGAGTCAGCCTGGTCCTGTGACAGGCCGTCCATAAGGGGAATGGAGAGTTCTGAAGAAGGGACGGACGAATCATAGATGCCCGAATCACGAGGGGGCGGGACCTCTGGAAGTGAGTGGCGGCCTTCTTCTGCCTCAGTGTGGACAGGACACACCACGTCCTGCAGGATGGAGGGTGCGGAGCAGGAGGAGGAGGACTCTTCAGGGGACAGGCCAGATATGCCAGAAGTGGACCTGAAGGAACAGAAAAGCAAAAGCCGTCAGACTGAGGAGGAGTCTCATATTATGCACAATTCTCGTTGGTCAAATACCATCCACAACCAGATTCCCGCACTTACATTCCCACGTCAATCAACAGTGACGTTGTCTAGTGGTCGTAGATGTACAGTGTAGGTTTAAGATGTTTCTTGAATAAACATTGCAGCTCATTAGACCCAAGTAAAGTTCCTGTGTATTTAGCAAAGTCAGACGAAAAAAACTACTGTGGTGTAACATCGTAATTTACCTTGAAGTGCTTCCCAGCATGGACAGGGAGCAGTGTGGCAGTCTAGGACTGGAACAGAGTCCAGGACTGGGACTAGGGCTGGGGCTGGGGCCAGGGTGTAGGCTGGGACTGGAGCCAGGGGCCAGCAGGAGCATGTTCCTCCCCGGGGCCCCCTCTCCACCCTCCAGGGACGGTGTATTAACAACAACCTCGTTCAGCACCAGGCCAGAGTCACACCTCCCCACGGACTGAGAGGAAGAGGAGGCGCAGGAAGGCTTTGGAGGAGGGCTAGGGTCAGCCACTGGAGGGTGTTTGGAGGGGGAGGCTGAGGAACCTCCTGAAGGAGCCAGCTGCTTCTCAAACCAGTCTGGGTTCTGGCTGATGTGCTGGTGCATGTTGCAGATGGAGACATACAGCGAGCGTCCGGACCGGCTCCTGAAGTAGTTCCTCCGGGACACATTGTGAGGCTGAGACTCTCGATCAGACAGACTGGACTGACTGGAGTGGAGCCGGCTGAAGAGCTGAGGCAGCTGGTCCATCAACTTAAACCTGAACACAGGAAATCAAATGACTAACTGTTATTTGGAGCTCAGATATATAACAGCTCTGTTAATTATTTTGAAGAAACGAATGCCAACCATTCCTGGATTGCTCGTAATAATATCTACACTACAGGAAATATAACTTAATCTCTGTCACTGACCGAAATTGTTGAACAATCTTCCAACAGATCAGTTTAATTTGTTTATTTTTGTTTTGCTTCTTTTTGTTATTATTCTTCACTATATAATTTAATATTATATACAATTATATTATATATATATTTTTTAATGCTGTCAAAATTATCGCGTTAACGGCGGTAATGCATTTTTTGAATTAATTGTGTTAAAATATTTAACGCATTTAACGCATGTGCAGAATGGCCCGCCTCATACATCCCACCAGTGGCAGCGCCAGGGTATGTCTGGGGTAGGCTACACCCATACCAAGAAATGGCTTAGCCCCACCATGAAAAATGATGTTAAAGTAAGCAAAAATAAAGTCCGCCAAACTCGCGCAGAGAATAGCACAGACAGCAGTTAGTAAGATTGATTTCAGTAGCCA